TAAGTATTGTAACTGTTTTCAACAGGACTGATCCAGAGAGGAGGTCACCATTCTTCCTTGAAAAGCGAAGCTAAATCATGGTTCCTTTCAGGCACACCAACTTGTGAAGAATCAGTTTATCTATATAATATATATACACAAAATAAATGCACAAAATCTGTTTAATGTCCCTTTTATTATTGCACTTTTCATTACAGTGTAAACTCAATTGAACAAATATTTATAGTGGGAAATATGACTATATTCATTAAATAAACAGCAAATGTGTGATGTCTACCTTAATATTTTTAAGAATGCACTAAGTTAGAGGTTTCTGTGCACAGTTTACAGCTTTAGTTCTCTCAGTATTTCTTTCATAGCCAAGCAAACCTGACCGTGGTACAATTATATCCGGCCCGCAATAAAATATCTCATGTCTATCTAAACTGGCCCGTTCCTGCAGTATGATAATCTAGGTTTGTAGCAGTGCCCGGCTAGATGCACACGGAGCGAACAAGCCCTAATCTCTGTTTGCCGAGTGGGAGCCAGGTAGCGTCCACAGGCTCCACAAGCGGAGTTGCCATGCCCAAGGCCCGGCTAGACACACACAAGCGAGCCCCTCCTCACCTTCCGAATATTTGGTGTTAGTAAAAAAAAAAATTCAGTGTTACAGAGATCCCAGTGCATGCCCCGCCAAGTTCACCCACAAGCTTTTCTCTGTGATGAAGATGAACAAAAACCCACACGAGTCGTCTCACAGATGTACACTTTCACTCCATCTTGAGGGGTTCCACAGCAAAGAACCTAACCCCAAACTATAATGAACTGGCAGCCAAGAAAGGATGCCAAACATCTGGCTCTGGCACATGGACATAAATAAAAGAAGAATGTAGCCTACCGATATGTTTTCTTTTTGCATTTTATCCAATATCCTGTTCAATAAATGTTGACCCTGTTTGGCCCTCAGCGTAGTCCCCATTTTTAATTTTGGCCCTCTCTGTGATTGACTTTGACACCACTGCTGTAGTGAATCAATGTTGAATCGAATCAGAAATTGAATTAAATCAAGACCTTGTAAATCAGAATTGAATCAATTTTGGAAAACAGTGACGATACTCAGCACTACTTAATAAATTACTAATGTATATGGGAACTGCCAAGAAAAGGTAATTGGCTGTTGTTGTTGAGGGAAGCAGTGAAAACGGTTCAGGACATTATTAAGCAACCGCTAAAAACATGTCACCTAAAAATAAAAATCCTTGATATTAAAGCAATATGACACCAACTAACACATCTAGCCCACTGTTGCCATCACTTAAACATATGTACAACATGTAGAATGGTTGCTTGTTGCATTTGTTGTGCTTGTTGCTTTTTGATCATTGTTGTGCTAATATTTTGGCAATAGTGACAATTTCCCCCAAAAAATGTTTTTATGCCTCCCTGCCAGCCAGTCGCTAGAGGCATTATGTTTTTGATGTTTTGACCTATACTTCAGATGTTACAATACAACAGAAAAAACATAACATGGCTCCATACTGCTCATGTGTTGTCATCCAAGTGTCCGCATTCTCCAACATTCATATTCGACTCCAACCGGCAAAAGTCAAATGGTGCTTTTTTAAAACATTAACACCAAATGAAAAAAATATAAATGCTGTGGCTATGTGGTTAGAGCGGTCAGCCAAAAGTTCAGTGGTACAATCCCGGTCTTCCCTGGTCTGCATACCGAAGTGTTTTTGTGTCTTTGTGCCAGCCAGTCACTGGATGCATTATGTTTTGAGGTTGCCCTATGTCCCATTCTTGTGAACACTATCTCAAGAATGTTTTGAGAGAAGTTATTCAAATCTGGTGCAAATATTCACTTTGACTGATGGATGAACTGATTCAATTTTGGTGGTCAAAGTTCTAGGTCATGGTAACCTTTCAAAACAAATGTTTTGGTGTGTTAAGGTCAAGGAAGGCATCAAGGGATCCTTTCACATTTGGCACAAACATTAACTTCTTCAAATGTGCTACAAACATTCAGAGGTGCTTTAAGTGCTGAACACAATTTTTTTTTAAACATTAACACCAAATGCAGCGGCGGCTGTGGTTACGGGTCGGCTCTAACCAGAAGTTCAGTGGTTCGATCCCAGTCTTCCCTGGTCCGCATGCTGAAATGCCCTCTGGCAAGATACTGAACTGCAAATGGCCCCTTCTCACAAAGACAGTGCTGCACATAGATTCACTGTATAATTGAGGTGAAAGTGAAACTGTACTGTAATGCACTGTCAGTGGTCATGAGGACTAGAAAAGCACTATTTTTCATTTACCATTTTAAATGTAAGGTATGTTGTCAGCTTACCTTACATTATAGCAAAACCACAAAAAATAAAGTAAACAAGGAATTTCCTCTCCTTCCCCTATGCGTCTCCTTCTCCTCCCCTTACATCAAATCCCACTGAATTATTATAGCATAATGATAAGACTAACACTTTCAAAAAGCACTTAGCAACTTAAGCAACTTAATTCTTAAGAATATTCAGTCTCACATTGGAATTTTGATTAAATATATCATAAAATATCCTGAATAAATAAAACATAAATAACAATATACCACACACACAACTAAAGCAACAAATAAAATTGACACTATGGCTCTGTTAACAAAAATTAAATAGAAAATATTTGGCACAGGTTATATGTTACCAGGACATGGAATGGAATGGTTATAATTTAGATGAGCTTAGGTTTGTTTTGCATTAGGTAAGTATTCCAGTATTTCTTTGAGGATTGTGTGTATGTGTGCATAAGTGCGTAGTTGTCTCTGTCGCTCTTCACACACAAATTCATGATCACATTTAATACTGATGTCAGGGCTGTGCCTGTCTCCAGCTGCGAGGTGTGGCAGGTGAACTGACTGATCAGGTCCTAATAACTTGCTATGACTGTTAGTGTTTATTGGTAAAGTGAGAGCAGGTCAGCTGGGGAGTGTGAAGGGAGAACACAGGAAACTCCAGCATGGTTCAAACCAATAAGCACTTCTGCCTGAAGCAGCTTCACTAATCATTTTGTAGTGGTTGGCCATTGTGGAAACCCTGTATTCACACTTTTTTGTTGACACTGTTCTTCAACAAATTGGACATAATGGCTCATTTGCATTAACAATTCCTCTCATCTCTGAGTCACTGAGTGTGAGTGGTGCCCAGGGCCTGTGTATTTGGAACGTAAACTCCACCTCGCTCCAAGACCCAGAGAAGATGAGATGAGAGAATCGACAAAACTCTTTGAAATGTTGTTGTTATTCTTGTGTAAAATGGAGTCACTAACAGGAAAAGGCATACATTAAAATATAGATTCCTCCTTTTTATTAATCAATATCATATCATTTCGAATTAAGATCGATTTTAATCAGAGAATAATTTGGAACTGTTCCTCAGGTGGATGTGAATTGTCTTTTCTTTTGAAAATTAATTTATGGTTCGTTTCATTGTTATGTGTTGCTCATTCACTCACAGACAGACAGAGAGTAATCTCACTTAGTGATACAGGTCACTGTGTCAGCTGCTGCAAAATGCACTTGAGTTTTGATTATAAACTGAGATGTATATAAAGACTAAACACAATTGTCTAATGTTTAATACTACCTATGTTGTTATTATTTT